GCACAATCATCTCTAGGGTTACAGAGAATGGTCCGAAAAAGAGAAAATATCCAGAGAGCGGCAGTTGTGTGGACAAAAATGCCTTGTTGATGTCAGAGATCAGAGGAGAATGGGCAGGCTGGTTCGAGATGATAGAAAGGCAACAGTAACTCATGTTAATATGGAGCAAAATCTTTGAGGAATGTTTCCAACATCTTTTTGAATCTATGCCATGAAGAATTAAGGCAGTTCTGAAGGCAAAAGGGGGTCCAACACAGAACTAGCAAGGTGGACCTAATAAAGTGGCCGGTGAGTGTGTGTGTGTGTATTATATCTCACACACATAAAATATATAGTATATTCATCCAATCACTCAGGGACTACTTTCATATTCTAATTGAACCTGTACATTGCATATTTTCTTGAATACCAATGACCAATTTTATGGGATCAGATAGGGCAGAGATTGTTGATCTGCATTATTGTAACCAAAATCATTATGGATAAATGGGCATGATGAGTCCGATGGCATGCGAGTAACATTTTCAGGAAATGGACCTTGATTCCATAATAGCTGGTGATCCTGCCATGAAGGTCATTGTTGAGGCATTTTCTTTTGGTTTATCTCAGCTGTTCTGTTCCTACTGTAGCACTACCCCAGGGGGCACTGAAGACTAAACAGATTTCCTTCCCATACTGTGCAGAGGCAGGGGTTGTCTTTTGGAAGTTTATTTGACAGTTGAAACTTGGTTTGGGATGATGCAGGATGCTCCAAGTTGTAACGTATTGCTAGCAGAGGACCCTTCTTGCTCTGCAGCTGTAGCACTAGTATTGGTAAACTGGAACAGTCCATGGTTCATGGCTGGGGACCGTGAAGTAGTATGAGAATAAATAGAGGCAGGCTGGTACAGTCCACGGTTCACAGCTGGGGACCATGAAGTAGTATAAGCACAAGTAGAGGCAGGCTGGTACAGTCCACGGTTCACAGCTGGGGACCATGAAGTAGTTTGAGGACACGTAGAGGCAGGCTGGAACAGTCCACGGTTCACAACTGGGGACCATGAAGTAGTTTGAGCACAAGTAGAGGCAGGCTGGAACAGTCCATGGTTCACAGCTGGGGACCATGAAGTAGTATGAGTACAAGTAGAGGCAAGCTGGTACAGTCCACGGTTCATTTCTGGGGACCATGAAGTAGTATGAGCACAAGTAGATCGAGGCTGAAACAGTCCACGGTTCACGGCTGAGGACCATGAAGTAGTATGAGCATAAATAGAGGCAGGCTGAAACAGTCCACGGTTCACAGCTGGGGACCATGAAGTAGTATGAGTACAAGTAGAGGCAGGCTGGAACAGTCCACGGTTCACGGCTGAGGACCATGAAGTAGTATGAGCATAAATAGAGGCAGGCTGAAACAGTCCACGGTTCACAGCTGGGGACCATGAAATAGTATGAGTACAAGTAGAGGCAGGCTGGAACAGTCCACGGTTCATGGCTGGGGACCATGAAGTAGTATGAGCACAAGTAGAGGCAGGCTGGAACAATCCACGGTTCACGGCTGGGGACCATGAAGTAGTATGAGCATAAGTAGAGGCAGGCTGGAACAGTCCATGGTTCACAGCTGGGGACCATGAAGTAGTAGGAGCACAAGTAGAGGCAGGCTGGAACAGTCCACGGTTCACAGCTGGAGACCATGAAGTAGTTTGTGGACACATAGAGGCAGGCTGGAACAGTCCACGGTTCATGGCTGGGGACCATTAAGTAGTATGAGTACAAGTAGAGGCAGGCTGGAACAGTCCACGGTTCACAGCTGGGGACCATGAAGTAGTATGAGCATAAGTAGAGGCAGGCTGGAACAGTCCACGGTTCACAGCTGGGGACCATGAAGTAGTAGGAGCACAAGTAGAGGCAGGCTGGAATAGTCCACAGTTCACAGCTGGGGACCATGAAGTAGTAGGAGCACAAGTAGAGGCCGGCTGGAACAGTCCACGGTTCACGGCTGGAGACCATGAAGTAGTATGAGTACAAGTAGAGGCAGGCTGGTACAGTCCACGGTTCATGGCTGGGGACCATGAAGTAGTATGAGCATAAGTAGAGGCAGGCTGGAACAGTCCATGGTTCACAGCTGGGGACCATGAAGTAGTAGGAGCACAAGTAGAGGCAGGCTGGAACAGTCCACGGTTCACAGCTGGGGACCATGAAGTAGTTTGAGGACAAGTAGAGGCAGGCTGGAACAGTGCACGGTTCACAGCTGGGGACCATGAAGTAGTTTGAGGACAAGAAGAGGCAGGCTGGAACAGTCCACCGGTTCATGGCTGGGGCCCATGGAGTAGTATAAGAACCAGTAAAGGCTTTACTCACTGTGTCCTGGTACCTAATAGGACTGGTAATACTGATCTTTTTGACAGTTTGGTGAAGGTGGCATGGGGACATATTGGGCAATCCATTAAAGGTCTGTATATAAATATAAAAAAAATTAAGCCTCATTGAGCTTTTAGTTGAAATTAGCTAAATACATTCCAGTTGTATTAAAACAAAAGATGTTCAAAGCCTTACAGTTAGTTTTCTTTCTTTTGGAGCTAAAGAAAAGCTGGTTTTCTTTATCTTCAAAGGAAACTTTCAGTTGAAATCATCTAAATACATTCCAAGTGAATGAAAGCAAAGTGTTCAAAAACAGCCACAGCTTGGGTAGAAAAGCCTGTACAATGCCAGCATGCTACAGAGTGAGACCATTACTGCCCAAGATGGCTGCCTCTCCACTTATCTTCCCCAATACCAATTTGATATGTGCTTCGAGTCCCCAGGGTGAAAAACTCTATATAAATGCATTAAAACAAAAGTTGTTCAATGTCTCGCAATTTGTTCTTTTTTTTAAAGAAGCCACCGCCAGAGTAGAAAAGCCTGTTCTCTGCCAGCATGCTGCAGAATGAGACCTCTGCTCTCTGTGTAGAAGCAGCGGTCACCATGCAGAGGTCTGACACCGCCCGTGCTGAGTCTGACATATACAGTAGCCCTCAATCAGCATTGCTCGTGATCCAAGCTGACTGGAGAGCTCTAGCACCGGCTCAGTAGAAGGGAGTGTCTGGCCTTTGCAGAGAGACCCATGCTTTTACGACCCCATTCTGCAGCATGCTGGCAGGTGACAGGCTTTTGTATTCAGGCTGTGGCTGCTCTCTTAAAAAAATCAACTTTAATGTTTTGAATACCTTTTGCTTTCGCACACCTGGAATGTATTTAGCTGATTTCAACTGAAAGGCTTCATTGGGGCTTTGAGAACCCCTTGGATAGAAAATCAAATCTTTGGAAAATGCAACGTGTTCAAGTCAATCGAGTGATGTATAGCGCAATCGATCTGTGTGTTGCTGGCGCCTCTGTGACCAAGCCCCCTATGGGCGGGGCGAAACACGGCTGAGGCCACTCACTACATGCTGTTCCTCTCTGACTCCTGGGGATGGTCTGAGCGGCCTCCATCTTCATACACATTGTCAAGTCTCTCTTAATTTCTGGTTACTTTTTCCAATAAAATTTGACTCTGAAGGTGATTGCATTATTTTAGGAGAACTTACATTTTGTGTTGCCATCAAACTTTTTACTAAATGTGATCTCTGCCAATCTAATTTCTGTTATATGTTGAGCTTGAATTACTCATTAGTTACACATTAAAGTGTTGCTAAACCCACAACAGTACAATCAGTCTGTATATGCAGTAAAGCATGCTTGTTATACTCACTGTGGAACCTAAGGGGTTAATCCTCTGCATTGTGTAAAAAGGCTGTTTGATCCTGTCTTCTCTGATCCTCCCCTTCTTTTACTGTCTCAAATCCATCTGCTGATAGAACAGAGCCTTGGGAGCAAGCTGCACATGCTCAGTTTAGTGTGTATTGCTAGAGAGTTTTGTTTTTTTTTCTTGGGAGAGTGCATGTGATCAGCACAGGGCCAATCAGCACTGTCCAGATTGAGGGTCAGGGGTCCTGCAGCCTCATAGGGCAATCCAGGGAAAATGAAAACTCCTTCTACAAGCTTTAACCAGTGCTCTGCTGGACACTGATAGAAATCAGTTATATAAGTACCTGTAATAAATAAATACATAAATAATAATCCTCTGCATTGTGTAAAAAGGCTGTTTGTTCCTGTTTGATCCCCCCCTTCTTCCACTGTCCCCAATGCATCTGCTGATAGAACAGAGCTCTATGAGACACTCTGCACATGCTCAGTTTAGTGTGTATGGCTAGAGATTTTTTTTTCTTTGGAGGGTTCATGTGATCAGCACAGGGCCAATCAGCACTGTCCAGACAGAGTGCCAGGGTCCTGCAGTCTCATAGGACAGTGGGAGGAGAATGAAAATGCCTCCTACAAGCTTTATCCAGTGCTGGGCTGGACACTGATAAAAGTCACAAGACTGCTCTAACTGCTGATGAGAAAAGGTATTTAGTAGTTTTATTTACTAAAATAATTGCATTTCCATGTTCTGTGTACTGTGGGAGCCCAGATATAGTGAATGCAGAGTCCGGGGAGACCAGATATAGTAAATGCAGGGTCCGGGGAGACCAGATATAGTAAATGCAGGGTCGGGGAGACCAGATATAGTGAATGCAGGGTCTGGGGAGACCAGATATAGTGAATGCAGGGTCCGGGAGACCAGATATAATGAATGCAGGGTCTGGGGAGACCAGATATAGTGAATGCAGGGTCTGGGGAGACCAGATATAGTGAATGCAGGGTCCTGGGAGACCAGATATAGTGAATGCAGGGTCCGGGGAGACCAGATATAGTGACTGCAGGGTCCGGGGAGACCAGATATAGCAAATGCAGGGTTTAGTAACAATTTAATGCAGAGAGTGACAACCTTGGTAAAATGTTACCTTAGTAGTGAATTACTAATCATTACTATCTTTTCCTTGATAATTCCCACAAAAAAATAGCCCTGATAAAGGGTGATTTTTCACCCTTGAAATGCGTTGCTGTCTTTTGTTTTCCCGTGTGATACCAATTAAGGACTTTGGACTTCATGTGTCTATTTCCAGGAGAGGAGGTTGACAGGCAGATGTGCCGAGATGCCATCTACCCCATCCCCATTGCTTGTGACGTCCCATGCCCCAGAGACTGCGTCCTCAGCTCATGGTCGGAATGGTCGTCCTGTTCACACACCTGCTCCGGGAAGACCACCGAAGGAAGACAAACAAGAAACCGTGCTATTCTTGCCTATCCGGGTGATGGTAAGTCTATCCCAGCTGTTCTTTACGAATAAAACTACTAATAATATTTAAAGCTGAACGCCGGTTGATCCTGAAACTGAACTCCAGGCTGAAGAAAATTGTAACTGAAGAGTAACTTCACTTTTGCTGAGAAAAAAACATTTCCCTCTGGGTCATCTATGTACATTGCAGGGATTTTAACAAACCTTGTTGAAGATTCCAACCTTTCATTCTTCTGAAGAAATAACTGTTTGTTTCTCTGTGTCCATGTGCAGAGCAAATATGAATGGGAGTGATTTTATAAATATCAAGCAGCTGCTGCACTTTCAGGGCTTTAATGAGGAAATTGGCAGGGTCTGCATCCCTTTAGACATGATTTCCTTTTGGGAGTATCTCACCAAATATAAAATTTTTGTTGCAGGGGATGTCCAAAATCTGATTTTCATCTTAGTGTAGACTTCTGGATAAATCAGTGAACTGATCACACAAGCAGGCAATGACATTTCTGGGGGGGTTCTGTACACCATCTGAGTACAGAACACCTCCAGGTCGCCATATTGCATTGCATTTTACAGAAAAGTACAGCGCTGCAGATTGAAAAGGAAAGGTAGATTTTTAATAACATTAAATTACAACATGATTTATGTAGCAATTATTTGCTCTATATTATTTTTTTTTTTGTTGATATTTTTTCCCACAAAAGTGGAATTACCCTTTAAATATATTCCTCAATAGTTGCATGGCTAGAAATCCACTTTGTGTGCATCAAATGCCTTTAAAAAGCCAGTTATCACCTTGTAAAAGTATCGGTCACATCATCACTGTGCTGTACATAGCCTGTGCAGGGAGCAGAGCTGTGGAAGGGACCCAGCAGGCCCCACCCACTTCAGGCTGCCTGCAGAAAACTACAGAAGGGGGCGGAGACAAGACCAGTCACCCTGCACAAGAAGAGAGAGCAGCAGTGAGCGGTCTTTATTACAGGAAGCTCCTGCACAGAGGGAAAGTCTCACACTGGATTACTGTACAGATCTGGAAGAAACACACAAAGCACACCAAGATCAGGGAAGAATATTTATGCCTCCTGTATCTACAGAATGATTCTTTAATACAATGGAATTTCTGCTTTTGCAATCAAAATATCACTGGCAGTGGGTGGCTCCATACTGTAAGCCAACAGGTGCTACGATATTGCAGATATTGGTAAGTCTAAACATGTTTCAGGCACTTGGAGCTGGAGGAGGGTGGTGTTTAGTCTAGAGCAGTGGTCTCCAAACTATGGCCCGAGGGCCGGGCATAATTCCTGTTACTGACATCAACAACGGAGCACTATTCCTCTCACTAACACCAATGATGGGGCACTATTCCTCCCACTGATACCAATGATGGAGCACTATTCCTTCCACTGACACCAATGATGGGGCACTATTCCTCCACTGACACCAATGATGGGGCACTATTCCTCCCACTGATACCAATGATGGAGCACTATTCCTTCCACTGACCAATGATGGGGCACTATTCCTCCCACTGACACCAATGATGGGGCACTATTCCTCCCACTGATGCCAATGATGGAGCACTATTCCCCCCCACTGACACCAATGATGGGGCACTATTCCTCCCATTGACACCAATGATGGGGCACTATTCCTCCCACTGACACCAATGATGGGGCACTATTCCTTCCATTGATGCCAATGATGGAGCACTATTCCCCCCCCACTGATACCAATGATGGGGCACTATTCCTCCCACTGATACCAATGATGGGATACTATTCCTCCCACTGACACCAATGATGGGGCACTATTCCTCCCACTGACACCAATGATGGGGCACTATTCATCTCACTGACACCAATGATGGGGCACTATTCCTCCCACTGACACCAATGATGGGGCACTATTCATCTCACTGACACCAATGATAGAGCACTATTCCTCCTACTGACGCCAATGATGGAGCACTCTTCATCCCACTGACACCAATGATGGGGCACTAATCCTCCACTGACACCAACAATGGGACACGTTTCCACCCACTGACACCAATGATGGAGCATAAATCCTCCCACTGACACCCAACAACAGGGCACGTTTCCTCCCACTGACACCAATGATGGGGCACTATTCCTCCCACTGATACCAATGATGGGACACTATTCCTCCCACTGACGCCAACGATGGGGCATTATTTCTCTCCCAAATGCCAAAGAGGCTATGCTTACTCCCACTGATTGCAGGACAATTTCTACTCCCAATGGCCACAGTCCGGCCCCCCTAAAGTCTGAAGGACAGTAAACTGGCCCTTTGTTTAGAAAGTTTGGAGACCCCTGGTCTAGAGGAGAGCACAGGGAGCAGTAAGGTGATGTTCCATAGTTCAGCGTGTAGGCAGGTGATCCTGGAAGCTGTAGATCAGAAAAGTCAGCCTACATTCAGAACACCTAATTTTGCTTCATTATGAATCAGTGACTTGGAAAGTACTGAAGCCATTGGATTAGCATGACCATTGGCAGCCAAGAAACCAGTGATGTTGATGAGTCGATAATAACATCCTCCATGCTTTCCCAGCAGAGGTATGCCTAAGGTGCGCATGCTGTACGTTGTATGTGTGTACCAGTACTTGTTTTTTTAACTTTATTGACCTTGACAAACATTTAATTCTACATGCAACATTGCATTGCAGTGCATAATAGTGTGTTGCAATGAGCGCAAAAATGCAACAACCTATTCCCACCCGTGTGAATTGAAAGGATAGGACATAAGGCAGATCACCTTGTCTATGCATCAGTACTGCGTTAGGCAACACTACCGGATGGAGCCCAATGGGGCTGATGTGAGCGAACCCCAACAAAACCAATACGGAGTTTATTTCGCTTACCAAAATATATATTATTTTGTGACTTCCTCTCCAGCATGCTGCTCCATTGAGAATATTGCTGTCTTTTTCTTGGAAAGACACACTAGAATATTCCTGCAGGTTTTTCCAATTGGTGTTTTTTTTTTTCTTTTTTTTTTTTTTGAGTGTAGTCAAAAATGAAATTAATTTATAAGGAATTTTCAGTGCCCGGGGACTTCTCAGCCAAGAAGGAAAGATGATTCTTGTGAAATGACTTTTTGTCCCCAGAGCTCCAGTCAATCTGCACACGAGTCTATCTCCCTTGACATTCCCTGTTCAGGAAATAAATAATTTAATCCGGTGACATTTTGCCGAAAGGATTTTGCTGTGTCGTTAGGAAGTGTGTCCATATTTTATGATATACACATCTCCTATCTCATTTTTACAACACGGAAAAAAAAATAGAGAGACCTTTTTTATTTAATAAGGTAAAGAGCAATTTGCCCAGTGCAGTAATCCATATCAACCAATCAGCATTCATCTTTTATATACTTAAAGTGCATGTAAACCCAAGAACAAGAATGTAATATAATGTCCTTAGACATGGTTGCTGCGTTTGTTTTCTTTTTCAGGTATTGTTTTCCTTTACTTTCACTTGGTGATCCTGCCAGTAGCACACTTCCTATCCTAAAATGAAAATGCTCACTTGCTGTACTGTTTTGATGGGGGAGCGTCACTTCGATAGTATAAGTGGGAGTTGCTCTGTAGTCCACACAGGGAACTTAGTTTGGGCCAACACTGTTTCTTACCTGGAGATCCAACTAATAACATCTCTTCCTGTTTCAGGCCAACAATGCTATGCCACTGCAATGCAACATGCAGCTACATTTGTATGATTAAAGTGGACCTCCAGGATTGAATCAGTTACTATCTTCCTCATCCATTGGGGGACAGAGGAGATCTTTCACCTTCGAGTTATACTAAAAAAACTGTAGGCCTGTAACCCCTCCTACTACCAGCATAACTCCGGTTTTTTTTTTCCTAATGTCCTAATATCTTTTCTGCCCCATGAGAGTTCTTATCTCAACCAGGACCTCATTCTCCAATCTCTCTCTATGGCCACAGATTTCTAAGAGGACCTTCTTTTCCTTGTTGACCATAGCTCAAATTGTGTGTCTCTATCTCTCAGTTACTGATTACTTGTTGGTCATATCCGATAAGCCCTGTAGGGTGATTTGGTTCTTGGTCCACCATCTAGGTAGGTCAGGTAGACCAGTGTAGCGCTACCCCCAAAGTACCCCCAAAGGAGCCACTTTTATGTTTTCCACCTGCTCCCCTTGCTTTGCCTCGCAGCCAGGCACAGTTTATTTCTGCAGCCAAATACACTCACACAAATTTCGCTCGTTGTCTTTAATCACCAGTCTAGGGGATGTTTTGTTCTGGAGCTTTATTGTAGAACTGGGAATAGGGATGGGAAGTTGTAGTAGGATTCTCCAAAATTATACTTATTCACACTGAGGAAATCTAGCTGATCTTTTAGTTGAGCACTTATGAAGTCTTGGCTGACAGTAAATAACAGACTCTCTTGTAACATATAGCAGCAAATAGTTTAAGAGTGAGCAAAGTCCCTTTTTGCAGTAGTAGTAGTTACACGGCTGAGCTCCTCAGGTACAAGCCAGTTATGAAAACTGCAACAGCCCAAAGGTAACGTAGCTGAGCAAAGTCCTTTGCCATAGCAGCACTTGGACAAGCTCTTCAGAACACTAGGCAGTGTTCCCTTTTTCCACACACAGTCCCCCAGATCTCTCCGAGTCTGTACTTACAAGTCCGTTGCCTCCTTCCAATCGTCCAAGTGACTCTCTCCAGTGATACCAGAGAGATCTTTGGCAGACAGCTCCCCTCAGTCAGCTTACTGAGAAACCAGGGTCACTCTTTCTAACTTCAGGCCCTCAGGTCCACCCACCTGAGGCCACATGGCAGTATGTGCCAGGCGAGGCAGCCTGCCTCCAGCCTGGCTGGTGCAATCCACTCCTGGTAAAGAACCCATGTGCTCCCAGAATCTAAATACCACTCCCAGCATGCAAAGGGGTTTATCTCCCCTGCAATTGGCCAGGGTTGTATCCATATTCATGCTGTTAATTTGCCTAGCCCCTACCCATGTTCTGGAAGGCTCTCATAGCTTC